TCCTGATTCGAAAAACAACGTTCCCATTGGTTTCTGGGTATCAAATCAGTGAATCCAATAAATAAACTTCCTGATTCGAAAAACAACGTTCCCATTGGTTTCTGGGTATCAAATCAGTGAATCCAATAAATAAACTTCCTGATTCGAAAAACAACGTTCCCATTGGTTTCTGGGTATCAAATCAGTGAATCAAATAAATAAACTTCCTGATTCGATTGGCTGAACTAGACTGAATCGAGCCAGTAAGAAGTGTCGAACTGCACAGTATTAATGTATGTGAAAAGGATTCTCATATTCCTCCTAACTTTTATAGTGGTAGTTTGGAAAAATATGAAAATTTCACCCCTTCCCGTTTCCTGCAAGGTCGATAATGTATCCATTCCACAACTAGAAATGAGCAATTACGATTTGCTTACCTATATTACAGCGTCAATAATTGTAGCATTGGGAGCTTTAAAAAAAAGACGAAAATATTATACATAATATTTCATTTGTTGTATCTGTTTTATTAGTGTGTATAATGTATCAAAGTAGAAATGTTAAAAACCGCTCAGTGACGTATGATCCTACTGCAGTATTTCATCAGCTTATTTTATGCGCGTGTTTTCAGCTTTATTATTCATGAGTGATTATGAAACATAGATCATTGTTTTGATAACTCTAAATAATGTTATCTTATTGATAAGAGAGAAATGATAAGCTGCTATTAAGTACTGAGTGTTAATTAAATTAATTGTCTTTCTGGTTCATAGAGAACGCTGTGGCAGAGTAAGCCTTCGAACATCGACAACATGTAGTTTTATCAAGAAAAGAGCAGAAACAACAGTGTTAGCCGTCGGTCGACCTTAACAGTTTGTATTATTAGGACGCAGAAAGCCTTTAATGCTAAGCTGAAGGTAACTAATTACAGCCAGTCTTCGCCATGGGTAATGGAACCGTTTATTGGATCATGTCACTTTAAGTTGAAGTCCCAGATCAAAGACCGCTGACAGCTTGATGAAAGAACAAGGTCCTTGAAAAGAAATGAAATATTTCAATATATAGCTTTAATGTCTATTTATTTACTATTTAAACAAAAGAGAGGAGGAAAACCAGAACAGTAGTTCACCGAATCATGGCTTGTTGGAACAGTCTTTCAGGATATCTGGTACATAAACCAGGAGGAGGTAAGTAAAGCTTCCTGCTACTTGGATAACATTGTTTTTGTTTTGTTTTTAATTTCGCTTGCTCGCTCGACAGAGTGCAAACGGTTATCTGTTTTGAGTCAAGGACTATTCATGACATATCTTTGAAAAACCTGGAAATCATAGTCAATTACAAATATTATTATCAGAAGAATACTGCAACAATACCGATGACTAACAAAATCAAAAGGTACCAACTGTCTTGACCGTTCTGGGTAATCACTCTCAGACGTAGTAGTCTAACTTCACGGACACTTAAAATTTGTGTAAGCAGATTATGAACCGTTAGGAGCTTATCTTCGTATACTGTATAGTACGTGATCTAGAAATACGAAAAACACAGAACGTAGGTAGTTGTATATAATTGAAGAGGTGTTGTGTGTTAAACAGCTAGAGGTTAGTACAAGTGTCGTTTCCTACTTTATCTTCTTTGAGACGCTTGAAAGTGACTTTGTTTGTGTTTTGAATTTCCCGCAAAGCTACCCACTGGCTACCTGCGCTAGTCTTCCATAATTTGGAAGGGACAAACTCTTGCAATATCCTTCACCAACGAATAGTGGGATTAGCCGTCATATTATAACGCTCTCTCGGCTGAAAGGGCAAGCATGTTAAGTGACGAATTTAAATCCCGCGACCCATAGGTTGCAAGTCGAGCGACCAAACCACCAGGCCATGCCAATGCCCTTTAAAGTGAAATTACTTGACAATAACTTAAAGAGGAAACAATACTTTCACCTATGCTTAAAACATGTTAAAATTATAGGTATCATTAAAATCTAATCTTTCATAATACTTTTTACGCTTCATTTTTTTCTTTCACTGGATGTTTCTGTGAACCAGCTTAAACATGCCCATAGACAGGCACCAATACGAGTTTCCAACGGTTGAAAAACATGTTTAAATTCAAACTCTTTTAGATTCTGACTTTATAAGATAATTCTCAAGAAAAAAGAATAATGCATTTTGCACCACTTGTTACTCGAACGTACGAATATCGCATTATTTAGGCTTGTTTTGTATATACAGGATTACACATAAAAATTGTGTTATGTAAGCACATATTCAATATTACGTAACTACTAAGATTGGTATATTTTTCTGTGTGCAAAACTTGCTGCTGTGATTATAGATATGCAAAACAAAATGTTTTTGTGGGTCAGTACTGCATATTCATGAAAGGTTTTGATTGAGAAATATGATGGTCTAGTCGAGTTTAGAATAGCGATTGCATTTGTCAGTGTATGTATGTATATCCACATCCAGCTGGGAACAGCGATAGTACTTGTCGATGTATGTATATCCACATCCAGCTGGGAACAGCGATAGTACTTGTCGATGATGTACATACACATCCAGCTGGGAACAGCGATAGTACTTGTCGATGTATGTATATCCACATCCAGCTGGGAACAGCGATAGTACTTGTCGATGTATGTATATCCACATCCGGCTGGGAACAGCGATGGTACTTGTCGATGAATGTACATACACGTCCAGCTGGGAACAGCGATGGTACTTGTCGATGAATGTACATACACGTCCAGCTGGGAACAGCGATGGTACTTGTCGATGAATGTACATACACGTCCAGCTGGGAACAGCGATGGTACTTGTATGTGTATCTGCAATCAGCAAAACAGTTTTACGTTTTCAACCTTGTTGTGCGATAAAGAAAACGTGCACGGATACATCAACGTGATACACGTGTAAAATAGAAAGTACAAATAATAAAGTATGACACATGTACTTCACAGTTCTAATACATAATATTGATATCAACCAATGGAAGACCACAGTTCCAATACATAATAATGATATCAACCTATGGAAGACAACGTGTGTGGAATAAGTTCTAAAATACTTTATTAACAATCCTGAGAAATTAATCAAGAAGAGAAAAATGTCAAGATATAAAACATACAATACCTAATAATATTAGCCCCCTAAGTGGCTCAGCGGTAAGTCTGCAGACTTATGATGCTAAGAATCGGGTTTCGATACCTTTGGTTGGCAGAATACAGATAGCCCATTATGTAGCTTTGTGCTTAACATCAGTCAAACCGAACAACGGACATTACAGAATGAAATAAGAATTTCCTCGTAGGAAAGGAAGCGTAAAAACATTTTGGTTGTTTTTATTCTGTTACATTATCTTAAGGTCAAGTGACCAACACCTACAAATTTTGGCTACAGGCCGGACTGTGAATCACAGGTTCTATAGTTTGCTACCAGTTACCGACAAGAAAACAAATTGTGCTCTCCACTTTGGGGCTATGGGTGAGTTCGAAAATTGGAGACCAAATCACATTATTCCATTAGTGTAGTCCAATAGTTGGCGGTATTGAGTAACTGCCTTGCTTCTAGTCTATCACTTCAAAATTAGAAACACCTAGCGCAAGTAGCCATCGAGTAGCTTTACGCCAAATTCAACAAACAACAACAACCTACACATTTCTAAGGTTGTTCTATCGGGGGGTCCTTTTTCGTGTAAATTAAATTTTGTCTCGTGTAGTTCTTGTTTCAGTTGATGGGTTCTGAGGGTTTCGTCCTATTGTTTCTAAGTTGTCCGTAGAAATATGCTTGCTTAATTCGTTCGAGTATGATTTGTTTTATTATTTCATTGTTAGTTTTCATTTCTGTTATCAATCTGTTAAGCCTTTTATATATTTTTCGTATTTAAGACACGCACACACGTGTATGTGTATAATGTTTTAACTTGTATTCAGAATTGTACTGAAACTATTTTATGGCTACCATGGCTTCTTTATCACGTAAAATTATTAACGCTTCAAAAAAATAGAAAATGCTTACTTTTATCGATCCAAAAATGCTTGAGCGAAAAACAGCAACAAAAAATTCTGCTTTAGCTCAAGTAGAAGGTAAAATCTAATACACGCAGGAAAGAAAAGCAACTTGGCATATCTAACATTGCATCATTTTATTCATTTGCTGTTAAAATTACATTCAGCTTAGTTTCTAATTCATCACATCCTATTTTTCCCTGTGATGAATCTTAGGTTCCAATCTGAATTCATTTTACAACGTTCGTTCTAATGATCGCTATTACACTTTGCGTGCTTACTTTTTGGAGTAATAAGGACGAAATAGATATTATTTTAAAATTTATTTTAAAGTGGATTTAACCTTTTTAATGATCAAAATTTGCAATAATGTGCACAGTGACTTCCTTCTTCACATTCATATCACTAAAGAAAGAAGTATTGTACACTTTTTTATTACTGCTGGACAAAGAATAGGAGTACTGAAAATTTTGAAATTTTATAGAAACTTCACGTGGCTATAGAAACAAAAGTAGATGTAGTTGGTGAGTGAAACTGTGCTATAGAAACAAAAGTAGATGTAGTTGGTGAGTGAAACTGTGCTATAGAAACAAAAGTAGATGTAGTTGGTGAGTGAAACTGTGCAGAACTATTGTAGACATGCATAGTGTTAAGGACAAAGTAAAACATTTGCAATTTTCAATTCTGGAGAAGATCAATAAGTATGCATATTTTATGTATAATGAGCAAACTAAGTAAACAGAGAAGACTATAGTAATTCCTTCTTAGTTTGGCTACAAAAGTATAATTTTTTGGTTAGTATCTAGCACCTCCAACAGTTGAAGACAAGCTTAGTTTCACTTCTTTAAGTATCATAAGAGATTGTCACGTGCCAATGCAAGTTATGTTCGTGTCACGTTGTTTACAAATTACAGTTAGCAAAATAGTTAAGTGAAGTCGATGAAAGTTACAGAATTAATTACAAACAAATATATCTGCATGATGTTTTATGTGAATGTTTATCTTCAACATCCATATATTTATTTATTACGAACAGCATGAGATGTTGTTAATTATACGTAACTGGTATATATCATCTGCACCTTTCCCAGGGCTTTATCGTGATATTCAAAACTGCAGGATGTATAAATGAAATAGGAAAATACACACTTAATAAAATTTTTACTTCTCTTAGACAATTTGATGGTTAAGCAAAACCTCCGTAAATATCATATAAATTGTGCCAAGCTTCCCCTTCCACCTAATTATTTACAACCCTTGATCATGAAAATTATACATATTTTCTTTTTAGGCGCGGCATAGCGGCTCATAGAATGGCTTAGTTTTTCCAAGTACAAACTTTTAGCTCATATCTCCGTCATCCATTGACCGATTTGAGATCTAATTACAGTTTTGGATTCAGAAGGTTAAACCCTTTCGAATGATGTATTTGACCATGCCCAAGGCCTCGTAGATAAATTTACTCTAATTCTGCCTAAAATAATTTCAATTTGAGGGTACGCTGGTAGAGATCGTAATGAGTAATAAAATCGAATCGGGTATACGCGCGTTCCACGCCTGATGTTGCTAGCGCACAAAAAACATAACTAATAAGATGGAAAAAAAGTCTCAGATTACTTTACTCTAATTCTACCTAAAAGAATTTCAAATTTCGCGGCTATTGAAGATTCCCTTTTGTTAATCTTACTCACTCTTCAGACTTGACGCAAAAAGTAGCTGAGCACGACTCGGACTCTAAATTCGTGGCTCGCTCCGTTACCGACAAAAAAAAAAAATCGTGCTTCGCACTTTGGAGACGTGGGTGCGTTATAGGAGTGACGGACAAATCTTACTATCCGATCAGAATAGCTCGCAACGTTGGCGGCGAATGGTGTTGGATAGCTGTTTTTCCTCTAGTCTATCACTTCAAAATTAGGAATGATTAGCGCAGGTAGCCTTCCAGTAGTTTTGCGTGAAATTCAACTAAAAAAACAGCATACAAAGAATCAGACTTTGTGAGTAAGATTCTTATCAAGCAACCTTGGTGTTTGAACTTAAACAAGAAGTCATCAAAATAATTCATCGCTCAAATAAATACGACGATACCATTTCAAGGCGATTATTAGTGGGATCGCAACTAAATACGTACAAACGTAAGCTGCAAAGAGTGAGTCCAAACTAATAACATCAGTCTTCCAAAGG